TTTCAAGCACTAACTTTATAACTGGTTGACTCACAATAGTCATTTTTGTGTGATAATTACTTTGCACATGTGGCCAGTCTAAATTTATTGTGTGATTAACCAGTTAATTGCATAATAAATGCAATGTAAAGCAGGGACAGTATATTAGGCACTAATATAGTGTGAGGTTAAAACAGTCTGCCACTTCTGGCTGATTTCCCCCCACACTGCATTGCTGCCCGATTCCTAAGTCTGGTTCCAGCATTTTCTTTGTACATATTTTGCAGAGGTAGGCTCTCTTCTCATGCGCCGTCCAAAGTAGGACTTGATTATTGTACTGACTCACCCAGAAGGCGATCACAGTTCTTTGTGCCCTTGGAAATGTCTCCTGAGTTTCTCTTCCTTGGCGCATGCAGTGGCACCTGACTCTGTTTCAAAACAAAAACTAACCTTACTGCTGCTGATGCTCTTCCTTGTCCCTTCCCTTTCTATTTACAGGACAAAGTATGTCAAATCTGGTCCATACCATGCACAAATTGGGAAAACATTTACAAATGCTTAAACACGTTAGGCACAGTCCACACCATGTAAACAACTTAACTAAAAAGTTGATCGGGCCTATGCTGATGGTGATCCTTCCACAAGATTCAAACTCAATTGATAAAATGGTTTGTAAACCTGAAGCAGATGCTTCTGACTCCTTTGCCCTATAATGGGTGCTTTGTCAGGTAGCTGTGTGTTCTGCGGCATGGAAGAGCATAGCCAGCTCTCCGCCAGCTGCTTCCCCCTCTTGGCACAGGAGGTGTTTCAGGGCAGAGAAAGGTAGCGTCAGCACAGCGTGTTCCAACAGTGCTGGACTAATGGAACTTATTGAGCCCAGTGTAAATTATGTATAACCGTGTCATTGTGGCTGACTCGGGTCTGGGGCTGGCTCAGCCCTGATGACTCCTGGTATTTGAGTTTTGGTTAGTTGTGTAAAGCAGAATATGTTATTTTAAAGGGAATTAAAACTGGTGGTAGGAGACAGGATCTTAAATAACGGACATCCCCCTGGGACAAAGCCTTTTATTCTGGGATCCGTATATACAAGGATTATTTTGGTATACAGATATACAAGCCCATTATCTGAACCCAGGTACCTGTGAAGTGTTTGAATTAACACTTTGCACAGGACTAATGTGAGTTAATTGCCATTCAATTCATTTGCATTGATTGTCGTGGCCTGTTTTGATCAGCCCCGGATTAAAAGTTTGGGTTATCTGTTTTTAGATTCAGATGGAGGTTCTGTCTTTCAAGGCAGGTCTTTGCCTGATATAGCTCTACAGAGATTTCTAACCAGTCAATTTTTGCACTTGCTTGCTCACATATACCCTTCTAGAGTCAGACCCACTGTTTTCAAAAAGCTGAGCAAGGTTATGCATTGTCAGCACCACGTTAAAAATGTGCAGAGAATGTATCAGTGCATAGTCTTTAACTTCCTGCCAATTGAGGGAAATTCCTACAAATCTATACAGGTTTGTTCCTGCAGTTTTCTGTCTCTTGTGATTACTGTAGTGTGCTGCGGGTCTGTTGAAACTACAGCTGTAATGGGGAGACTGGTGCCAGGAAAGCCGCCGCGCGCGCGGCCCGCCCCCCCATTTCTGTGGGCCAGCTCCAGGCAAATCTCTGGAGAGGTTTCTTCTCCCTCCGTACAGCTTGGTTCATGCATAAAGGTCCTTAGGGATATTTTTTTTTATCTGGGCAATGGAAAAATTTTGTTAATAGAACACCATTTTAATTACTACTTAATCTCAAACCCAATATTTCCATTTAATTGCTTCAGGATTTATCTGTTAATCAGTGTATACACAAGGAGCTTCACTTCTAGCCTGTGCTCCTATATCTTTCCAGCTGGATGCAGTCTGGGCCTGCTCTGGGCAGACCAAATCAACATGTCACCCAGTCTTCCGGGCACCCTACCCAGGATATGAAGGAGTGTTCCTAGGTGAGCCTAATGCCCACCTTATCAGGGATTATTGATACATAGATGGCTAGACATTGTAGTGTAGTGAAGCAATAGTTTGGCTAGGGCTACAGGATTAATCTCACTTAATCGTTTCCAGAAATGGCTTGTCTGAGGAACGTCATATAACAGATCCCTGGCCTGCTGTAGACAGTTGAGTTCAGCATTTGGAACGATCTACAGAGAAGCTGTGTCTGATTTTTGTAGCGAAGAAGGAAAAAAAATGTATATCCTTCTCCAGCTTGGACTTACAAATAGAGCTACATGAAGACTTGCATGGTGGCTAGTAAACCCTGCCCACACCACAGTCTAAACTGGTAGACATCCCAGTGCAGTCTGTGTCTGGCAATTGGCTGGTAACTGAGGAGTGCCCAGGATGCTGTTTGAGTCAGTCCTCTTCCTTCTCTTGAAGGATGATTTAGTAATTTAAACCTGGATCTCCCAGTTCTAGCAGGCACTCCTTGTGTAACCTTGGGCAAAGGCTGCTTCATCTTTCCCAGTTCCCCATCTTTAAAATGTAACTGATATTGCTTTTCCCTCGCTCTGGCTTTCTGGGTATGTCTCTTCCTACGCATGCATGCACATAATGGATTCCTTATCTTGGTTAGGCCCTTAGGGTGGCACTATGATACAGATCAGTAGCTTTGTCAGCCTTCTTAAAGTTAGCCCTTTTGTTGATACCACCTTTTTTGGTAGAAGGGAGATAATGTATTTTTCTCAGTGGTGTAATTAGGGTGGGGTGACTGGGGTAGCCACCCTGGGCACTGATTTGCAGGGGAAGGGGCCAGAAAAAGCAGCTCATGTCACTGCTACATGAGCACAATTGTATGGCACGGCAGAGACCAGAAGATACTCTGTGCATGGCAGCTTCCCTTAGGTGCCTGGCCATGTCACTACGCCTCTGGTAGCCTTTATTCATTTTATTACATTTTTCTGTTGTCTTTGGAAATGGAGATCTTTGACAGCTGAAGCTAATCAACGTGCCTCTGGCCAGTGGACCCAATTATGATTGCTCTCAAGGGAATCGACGCTTTGTCAGGACTTGATGTTTTGACATTTACAGTTTGCCCGTCTCCTGCCCTTTCTAAAAAAGGCTCAATCACTTGTTCAGAATAGTGAATATAAGGGCAGGGGTGTAGGTTGTAGCCATGTTGGTCTAAGGACATAGGCAGACAAGGTTCTTTGGGTGAATCTGATATCTTTTATTAGACCAACTTAAATAGTTGGAAAAAGGCTGAGCTGTTTGTAAGTGCAGGCACCTGCAGTAGCTCAGGAGCAGAGGAGTTGGGGTCTGGCCTAGTGAACAGCAGGGATGCAGGAGAGATCTGACTAGTTGCACAAGCTCTTGAAATTGCATGGATCTGTTATAGCAGTTAATGCTGCAGGAGCATAGGAGACTCGGAGTCCAGGATAGGGTAGCTGGTATTATGAGGCCACCTTCTGGTAGCTTATTATTATTACATTAAATAGCATTTTATCGGGTCTAGAAACTTCAGCCTCCTGTCTGATTTGTTTTTAAAAGTAGAGCCAGAGCTAAAACCAATTGTGTTGTTGTTTCTTCATTAAACCATAGTTTCTTAAATACTTAGCACTTGCATCATGTGTTCTCTTGGAAGCTTTCCAAAGTACTTCACAAACAATTAAGCCCTATTATATGGAGAGTAGGGAG